TATTGTTGGAAAGAAATAGGTTTGTATGATCTGCAAACAAAATTGGGTTTAACTTTACTTATGCATTATTTAAGTCATTTACATAAACTAAGAATAAGAGAGAACCAAGTATCAATTCTTACGGTACTCCACACAGGATTTTAGGTATTCCGTATTCTTGATTTAGAAAATATCCGTGAGATAACTTTTAATCCAATAATAGACCTTATTAGTTACTCCATAATGCTTCAACTTTTCTAACAAAATACAATGATCAACAGTGTCAAAAGTTTTTGAGAGATCGATAAATATACCTAAAGTAAATTTGTTTTCGTTAAAGCCATTATTTATTTGATCAACTAATTCAATATAAGTATGTTCAGTTGAATGATTCTTCTGAAATCCAAATTGTTTTGAATAAAAGAAGTTTTTTTTAGTAAAATTATCAAAGATTCTATTGTAAATTACACCTTCATTTATTTTCGAAAATACAAAAAGCACTGATATAGGTCTGTAGTTGGAAACGTTAGAATGATCATCATTTTTATAAATTGGAAATTTTTTTGCTAATTTTGTTGCATCAGGAAATACCCCTTGATATAAAGAAAGTTTTACTATCTAAAAAAACGGTTTATTGATACTTTTTTTATTTGCAATAAGTATATTACTGGGTATATCATCAAATCCCGGTGATTTATTCTTTGTTAAACAAGAAAAAGCCGTTTCAAATTCTTTTAATGTTAAGTCAAAATCATGCAATATTATGTCTGATGGTTTTAGGTTGGTGACGAGGTTAGTATAATTTTATTAGCAAGATTAAGTTCTAAATTTGTAAAATATTTTTTAAACTCCTTAGATATTTGTATAGGGCATAATATATCAGTATTTTTGATATTATAGTACACTTCTTTTAATTACATTTGATATATATTAAGTTGTTTAAAAATGTTCATGGTACCAAGTTTACGTATATATTAAGTTTAAAAATGTTTACGTAAAAGAGGATCATAAGAAACACCTCTATTATAAATTATAAACAAATTAAAAAACAAGATACTATACATTTTTTAGAAATTATTGTGAATGATCATTTATCATGGCTCCCACAAATAAAATTATACAATCAAAAATTAGTAAAACCATTAGTATTATATATCTAAAGCTAATATACTTCTGCTTAATTCATTACTACATTACTTGCAAATTTTACGCGGGCAAGTTGTCAACCAGCAAAACTTAAAAAAGTTCTTTGCTTACAAAAACATGCTTGTAGAATTATATACAACAAAAAAAAGGGAGACCCTACTAAAACTTTATTGATGGATATGAAAATGATGAACATATTTCAGATAAATATTTATCAACTCCTAAACTTAATGTATATATATACCAATAATCTAACTCCTGGAATCTTTATAAGTAAATTTTATAAAAGTCTAAATGAAAAGTATTTCTTGAGAATAAATCAAAGCAACACATAAAAATTACCTCAAAAAGTAAGCAAATACACAGAATATAGTATAACTTATAGAGGACTAAAGCTATGGAACTCTTTTCCGAAAGGCAATTTAGATATGACAAAATCATTATATTCATTTCAGTATTAAACAAAAACTTACGGTTTGAATCTTACGGAATAATTTTTATTTCACAAAAATGATTTTTTTAAGCATTATATCTTCTTATTTAACTATTTGTATTTTTAAATATTAAATGTAATCTTTATATATTATGATTTGAATATGATATTATATATTTAATTGGAAATTTGTATTTAAATATCTTCTTTCATTACTTTTTTTGACTATTATTATTCATATATATATATATATATATATATATATATATATATATATATATATATATATATATATATATATATATATATATATATATATATATATATATATATATATATATATATATATATATATATATATATATATATATATATATATATATATATATATAAGTTTGGAATATATATATATATATATATTCCAAACTTAAAACTTAATGACAGTTTATCATAACAATAATTTGATGCTTCTTCGGAAGTCTTTTTAAACTTGTTGAAAAAAGGTTTTATATATTACTTATTGACGTGTTGAACATATTTCTTAACTTGATGAAAAAAAATTTGTTTGATTTTATTCAACAAAAATGTTGACTAAAGCAAAACACACATTCTTTGAAAATTTTACATTGAGCAACTTATTGCGCTGTAATATTAGGACTTTCTTTACTGATGTGCAAACGATTGTAATATGTTGCACCGTTCCATTCTAAAATTGATATTAAAAAACAAATACAAACAGTTGCACCCTCAAATTTTTTATACAGAGTTACTAAACTATTTGAGTACCGTAAAACGGGTTACTTTGAACGTTTTTGAGATATTTTTACTTGCTCTTCCTTCACTATTAACAATATTTGAAATTTAACAAAATGAATATAGGGGCTACGATTGACACATACATAACTCAAATTCAAAATAATATTTAAATAAATAGATTTTGTATAATATTAATTTAAATAGTCATTCAAAGTTACCCCAAAAATGGGGTAACTTTTAATGCGTTTTTTGTAAAAGCAAAACCTATTCAAAAACGCCTTGTTTTGTTATAAAATTTAATAAAAACAACTAGCTTCACAGTAATTTATGAAAAAATAAATAATTTAACTAATTGCCAGTACGTTTAGGGTAGGGTAGGGGGCTAAGATTTTAGGGTTTTTTGCTCCCATTCTCCTATCATAGTAATTTTTTTTTTTGTTAAGAATATTTTTGTCATACATATTAACGTAAAAAAATTTGGAATATTCTTTTTGTTTAAAAGCTGGTTATTTCAAACATTTAATAATGTCTGGAGCAATTACGTATAAATATAAATAGGTGCGTGACTCGCAGCTTTTTGCGTATAACTTAGTAAAGCCAGCTTCCGCCATTTTGCAGTACGGCAAAAACATGAGACGCAACTATAAAAACATAAAGAATTATTTATCAAAATAATAATTACCCATGAAAATTATAGTACATTTTTATTATTTTGATAAATTAAATTTGATTTGATTAATTGAGTATCGATAGAAAATTAATTTTTACTATATTTCTTTTTTACCAAAGTCAAAGACTTGCTTTTATTCCTTGAATAAGTTTGAGGTAATATTTTTGACGTTTTGAGCCTAATGGTTAAAAATCTAGCAGCACTTTTTCAAAAAGAAGTAGTTGCTCTTAAAAATTTAACAGTTAAAACCTCTTTGAAAACTTACATCTAGTTTAAATTAGTCATGTATCTCTATATAACACGTTCAGAATTTTATATTTTTGTCGTACTGCCATCTTGCGGTACGGCAAAAATCTTAAATTCTGGCTTCACTTTTTGACTCAAGTCATGCATCTAGTTATATTTATACGTCAATTGGTCTGGAGCAAAACACCCTCAGCTGGTAAAAAGAAATTTTCAAATATCTTTTTATATTATGCTGCTTTGATAATGTTCGGAGTTATTAGCTGTTCATTCTTACTAAACTCCATAACAATTGATGTTACCTTTGTAACAACTAATATTATCTCCATAACTGCTAAAGGTTAATCTTTGTTACTTTGCGGAAATAAAATAGTAACCTTATCATAATTCTAAAGTTTTAAACTTTTTATGAAGTAAATAAAATTATTAAGTACATAAAAAAATTAGTATGTTCTTTATTAAGTACATAAAGTTCATAAGTAGTTAATATATTCTTGACTAGTACTAGAATAAGAGCAAAATATTTAATACTCAAGATAGATTCAATAGAAATACAATCTATCAAAATAAATAAATGCATTAAAATAATCCTTAAATATCTATAAATATTAAATAAGGAATAGTAACAAATCTTTATTATTGTTTATTTATTACATTACTTGTGCTTTTGTAAGATACATAAGCAATCACCATGAAATCATATTTCATCATATCTCTTGATTGAAATTAGCAAAGTTAGTTTATCTCTCTAATGAATAATATATCTGATACTATATATAATATTTTGAATCTAAAAATAATCGGAACAACTCTCCTTCTGATGGCTTTTTTAATGATTTCTCTTTTAGGCGGTAAGTGCAATAATAACACAGACAGGTGTTTGCTCTAAAATTAATTTAAGATATACTTTAATGGTTTTATTAAATGAAAACGATTTTCAAATATATGATATTCTTAGAACAACAAAAACCCTAAAACTTGCGCCTCTCTAATCCTAAATGTAAAGCAAACAAATACTACGTTTCATACTATTCCTTTTAACTAAAACTAAATTTTATCAACAGATTTCAAATTTTAAGGGGTCTGAAAACTATTCATTTGTTATTTCGAAAAGTCGTGTTTTTATATAACTTAAGCCCAACAAAAAACGTTAGTGGGACGTTTTATGGACTTGTCTACGTCTATAAGATGTCGGCTCGTATAACAACCATGCTTTAAGAATAAAGTGTATCAAATTTGCAATATTACTCGAAAGTGATTACTTAAAAGTAACTAAGTTTTATTCATGTAAGGAACTTGGAAGGAACAAGTAAGGAACTTGGCATGGTACAAAGATTATTACGTGTTTAAATTACGGAGAACAGTTTTAACTATAGTTGAAATTAGCAATATTTAAGTTGCTTAAAAAATCAACAATTATGTTTTACGGAAAACAATTATAACTCTATACCTTAAGAAACATAATCATAATCGTCATACAAATCGTAAATATTTAGCGCTATGACGGAAAGTAAACTCTAAGCTAAAACTGTAATCACAACTACCCTTCGTAAAAGCTAAAATTGTAATATCTCGGCGATCCTTCGCCGAAACCTAAAGTACCACATTTAAAGTAATAAAAATATTATTTATTAAATAATAGTTTTTACTGTTTTTATGAAGTCAAAAGTTGTGTTTACTAACAGTTATTTAAACGTGTTTTATAAATTGTTGATGGTGAGGTTAAAGAAAAATCAAAAATTATAAACAAAGCAAAAATAATAACAAAAGAAAATATTTTCTAAATTTATTGTCTAAAATAGATTGATAAAACAAAATAAATTTAAATTCCAAACTACAGAAAGTTGTACATTGTTTTTAAATATATTTCTTATATAATAACTTTTAGTGTATATTACTAAATGTTCCTTTCTTATTGTGCTTGCAAAAAAATAAAAAAATCAAAATTCGATATATTCTTTAATCATCATTTTCTTGCTGTTCTTCATCATCATCTACTTCTCCTTCATCTTCAGCAGTGGCATCCTGATACTGTTGATATTCAGAAACCAAATCGTTCATATTTGACTCAGCTTCAGTAAACTCCATTTCGTCCATACCTTCACCAGTATACCAATGAAGAAAAGCTTTCCGTCGAAACATAGCTGTGAACTGCTCACTTATACGTTTAAAAAGTTCTTGAATAGCAGTACTATTTCCAATGAATGTTGCAGACATTTTTAAACCACGTGGAGCAATATCACAAACTGCTGTTTTAACGTTATTTGGAATCCACTCAACAAAGTACGAACTGTTTTTGTTTTGAACATTAAGCATTTGCTCATCTATTTCTTTCATGGACATACGACCACGAAATATTGCTGCAACTGTTAAATATCGACCATGACGTGGATCACATGCAGCCATCATGTTCTTGGAATCAAACATTTGTTGGGTAAGCTCGGGAACAGTCAAAGCCCGATATTGTTGGGAACCACGGCTTGTAAGTGGTGCAAAACCAGGCATAAAAAAATGAAGACGTGGAAATGGTACCATATTTACTGCAAGTTTTCGAAGATCAGCATTTAACTATAATTATTAAAATATTTATAAGTAATTAGTGTGCGCGCATATGTGTGTATATATGCATATTTATAAATATCAATAAACAATAGCAAATTAGTAGAGTTAGAGTGTGTGTGTGTGTGTGTGTGTGTGTGCGTGTGTGTATGTGTGTGTGCGTGTGTGTAGTTTACTATAGCAAGTGTGTTATGTAATAAATATAAAATAATCTAAAGGTTCTATAAGAACAAAACCTAATATGTACAACCAATATTAAAACAAAATGTTTTAAATTTACCTGACCAGGGAATCTTAGACATGTAGTTACACCACTCATAGTTGCAGACACAAGATGATTTAAGTCACCATATGTAGGCGTGGTTAACTTAAGTGTTCGAAAGCATATATCATAAAGAGCTTCATTATCAATGCAAAAAGTTTCGTCTGTATTTTCAACCAACTGGTGAATTGATAAAGTTGCATTATATGGCTCAACAACGGTGTCTGATACTTTGGGTGAAGGAACAACACTAAATGTATTCGTTATACGATCAGGGTATTCCTCACGAATTTTAGAAATTAGAAGTGTTCCCATACCAGATCCAGTACCACCTCCAAGGGAGTGTGTAAGTTGAAATCCTTGCAAACAATCACAACCTTCAGCTTCTTTTCTAACAACATCTAAAACGGAATCTACAAGTTCTGCGCCTTCAGTATAATGTCCTTTGGCCCAGTTATTACCAGCACCACTCTGTGCAAACACAAAATTATCGGGTCTAAAAATTGCTCCAAATGGTCCAGACTTAATTGAATCCATGGTTCCAGGTTCCAAATCAACAAGAACAGCTCTTGGAACATATTTACCACCTAAAAAATTGAAAAAATATTGACTTGAAAATTTTTCACTTTAATTATTAATCAAATAGTTATTAAAATATTTTTTATATACCTGTTGCTTCTGCGTAGTATACGTTAACTCTTTCAAGTTGCAAATCAGAGTCACCCTTGTAACTACCAGTGGGATCAATACCATGTTCATCAGAGATTACTTCCCAAAACTAAAAAAAATAAAAAAAACATTTTTTTAAAAGTTTCAGTTATTATTAGGATTTTTTTACTGAGCAGCCGTGACGCAGTGATTAGAGCTCTACCTTAGAACTAAGAGGTCCGAGGTTCAAAGCTGGCTTTAATATAATATAATTTATTTTTTAATATAAAACATTACTTATACTTTTATGATTAGAGCCTTTGAGTGGTACCATCAACTTATTGCAACATCTAAGTTAAAATGGTGAATCGTTTTTTAAAAAAAGACCCTTCATAAGTTAAGGGTTTAAACCATTAAAGGGATTCAAAACTTCAATCATTAGCAATTTCAAATTTCGAACATGGATTTATAGGTTATTTTCTAATTTTAACACTTCATAAAAGACAAATCAAATCTTTTATGGACTATGTGGAGTGCTTTTTTATAAATTTTATTTATAAGTTTGTCATTGTATTTAGAGAAAAGCAAAAGACAGTATAAAAAATTAAACAAAGTGTATGCGTTAGATAATAAAGCTTATTTATAAGATAGAAAACTTCTTATTCAAGAAAAGGATAAAGCACTTACTATTAGCTTTTATGCATAGAGCTTTAATTTGATCACCGAACTTTAAGTCCTTGTCAACTGTACCCCAAGTCATGGCCGACAACAAAGTTTCGGCCATGACTTGGGATACAGTTTCAAAGAGGAGGGGCACAATTGTCTATTTCTATACAATCATATAATTAAGTTTAAACCATTCAGTGGCATTTAGTGTTATATTTTGCAATCAAAGAATAATATTCTCTATGTTACTTTCAAAAAAATAGATATTGTTATGTTGCTATGTTACTTTCAAAAAAATAGATAGTGTCAGCAAAATTGCAAATCTTAGAGTCTTTAATAAATAGAAAAAGGTCATTTATAAATATATTAAAAATATTAGCCCAATGACTAATCCTTGAGGCAAATCCCAAATCCCAAAAAATCTCTAACGAAACTCCTAATTACTCAGAAAAAGATGAACTCATTATAACTCTTTTTTTACGATGGTTTAGATATGATAGTAAAAGTTTAAGACTTCAAAAAAACATAAGCTTCCAATTTAGCTACTAATAAATCATGAGTAATTAGATTGTAAGCTTTTGAAAGATCCATAAGCATGAGTAAAATCTCCTTTATGCAAACATTCCCGCCATTTTTTCAGTAAAATAAAAAGCGCATGCTGAGTACCAAACCTCTACAAAAGCCACACAACAGAATGTTAAATTTAGGCTAAATTAATGCTCGTATTTGCTCAAGTACAATAAGCTCAAATATTTTTGAAAGAGCTGGAAGGATACTTCTTGGTTGATAGTTTGATTTATCTGTTGGTTTATCTTTCTTGAAACAAGGTATGATATCAGCCAATTTTGAAAAAGAAGGGAATATCTTATCTGAAATGCTTTTATTTGTACATTTTGCAAGACTTGCTCTAAAAAACTCATCAGGGACATTAACATATGTTGGCATGTTGCCGCTAGTTTTTCCTGAATTTTCATTGAATCAATAATTTTGGAAATAACTCGGAGATATCATTTTAAATTTGTTCTTTATAATTTTAATACTCGGACGGTTGATTTATCTCCCAACAGCCATTTTAACAGAGTATTGGAAATTATTGAATGTTGAGGGATCTCGCCTTGATTATTAATAAAGGAAGAGACATTATGAAAGTTAAAGGTTAAAGTTAAAGGTTCATTGGAATTTCCAGACTTATTTGAAAGGAATGGTTTACATAACCTCGAAAGATAAGTATGCAAATGGTGTGCAAATTAATGCAACCAAAATACGTTTCACTCATTTTCCAATTAAGATTAAACACAAGATTTTTTTAATACATTAAAAAAAATTTCGGATTAATCAAACTGATATTTCTTTTTTAAGTATGAACGAAGCATTTATAAATGATTTAGTGACAAATGGCTTGTCATCGCTATGATTTTAGTCTTTAATGGTGCATGTAAATTCAAAACTTTACTAAATATTTTATTATATTTAAAATTTAGATTGTCTTTTGATTCAAAAACAAGTTAAAAATTTAAAGATCTAATGAAGAGGATCAAAATGGATTAAATTAAAAAATCTAAATTTGACAGCAATATTAAAAAATGATTGTTTTTGTGTATTTGATTCTAAAGATACTATGGGCCACTTTATATCCAAAATATAGTTCGACAAGTAACTTAGGATCCTCTAAGAATTTTAGGATCTCCTAAGAATAGGGAGCAAATTTTGAAATTCATAATTATTAAAAAATTTTTTCAATTTTTTTATGTGTATTTACTTTTGTTTAATATTTTATTTAATATTCCTACATTGAAACTATTCCAAAATAACATATTGATGGTGTAGATATATATAAAGAATAGATATTGCAAGCATAAAGTCAAAAATACACGAAGAAACGGTCCAATAAAACTTTGATATAAAATGATAAAAATTCAATAAGTGAATTAGATAATAATATATACGTTTAAAGCTCCAATAAATGTATCTCTATAAATATAGAGGTATAAATATAAGAACAAAAAAAATTTAAGATTTAAGAAGATAAAATTTAAGATATAAATAATAACAAAAAAATGTTTTAATATACCTTATTAATTTTTGCAACTTGTAATATGTTTCAATCATTAGCGATTTTACAAGGGGGTGTGACCTCCCCCCCCCCCCTCACCAAAGAAGGTGATTTTTAAGTTATTGTTAATTTAAGGTAGGGTAGATTAGGGTAACATAAGCACTTTGGTAACATGAGCATGCTTAGAGATTTTGTAGACGTAAGCAGTGAAGTTAAAGTTGATTTATATTCTTTGAATCGACTTGATGTGATGATAACAGGAATCAGTACAATTAGGGTAAATTAATAAGCAGTAATTAGCATTAATTAATACCTAATTAAAACTGTTAATTTTTTTGCGTTGTTAAAATAATATCATCACCCATTAATAAATCTGTGACGCGAAATTTTGGTGCCAAAATAATAAAATTTATTGTTTCATTAAGAAAAATATGCTAGTTAAATATCATCTTTGCTTGAATTTAGTTTTGACTTTTTTTAAAGATACCATTTTTTTTGTAATATAAGCATGCTTAAATTACCCAGTGTTTTTCGTTGAAATTATCTAGTTTAAAGTCCTAATATAGCAGTGGTTTAGTTACTTTTTGAATTAAAACAAAATATAGTAAAAAATTTTAATATTTTAACAATACTAAATATTTTTTTGTAATTTAAATTCAAAAAATTTTTGAAATATGTACAAAATTTAAAAAATAACAAACTTTTTTTGTTGCGGAAAACATAGTAGTATTGTTTCAACTAAAGATGGCTTCATAAAAAAAAACAACCTGGTTTTAAAAAAAAAAAAAATTTTTTTTTTAATTTTTTTTTCTTTAGGGATTTGATTTATGATGTTAATAGATGAAGTCTTCGACAATGATTTTTTACACATAGACGGCAAAATTAAAACTAAAAAAATTATCATCCAATAGCAATTAACATCCAATAGCATTACCTACTATGTCGAAAGAATTGAGTAGATGTTAAGTTTTAAGCTTTGTTAGAAATGAAATTATTGGAGGTTTCTTGGATATACTGACTTGGAGGACATAAAATCATTCGTGGAATCAATCAGTTATCAGGGATTTGATGCAATTGCGATCATATCAGAATTTAGGAAAAGAGGAAGAATCACTACGAATAAAATGAATCCTTCATTTTATTCGTAGAATATTTTCTGGTTTCAATCTTTTCTGGTTTCAATCTTTTCTGGTTTCAATCTTTTCTGGTTTCAATCATTATTAATTTATCAAAATTTTTAATAAAAAACTTTATTATTATATATTTTTAAAAAATAAAATAAAATTAGATTGGAGTTATATATACGTTGTCATAGGAAGCTCGGAAAAGTCTAAAGTTTTGTCATTGAGTATCCTTTATCCTAGAAGTGTAGTACACATAAACATCGATCTTTTCATCTTTATACTAGACATGTGGTACAGATAAACAAGTCAGTTAATTTTTAAATTGATGTAAATATATTTTAAATTTTTTTTTTATAAAAACTATTTTTATTCATTTTTTTAAAAAAAAGTTAGATTTTTTATTTTGTTTTTGGCATAGATTTTTGTTTTGAATGGAAGTCGTTTAAACTCCTTATAATTGTTTAATTTAATAATTACATTTTTTAGCTTTATTTTCAAAGAGTGTTCCATTATTTAAATTTATCAGTGATTCGTTATTAGACATTATTTCATTGTGTAAAAAAGGACTTCGATATGAAGTTGAGAATTTTGAAAGTTTTTTTGTTTCAAAGGGTAATTAAAATTTTCCTTTGCTCTTGTATTATATTTGTTCAATTTTTTTTCAAAAAAGTTTGTCGTAAAATGCTCTTGCACCAGATCCACCAGATCCACCAGATCCACCAGATCCACCAATTGCACCAGATCTTGTTTTTAGACATGAAAAGTATATTTTGATAAATGTTTATTTGAAAGATATTTAGTGCTTTCATTTGTTTCAATAAGAGCTTTTAAATAAAATAGTTACATACAAATATATTTTGTGTAATTTAGAAGGTGAAAAGTTTATTCACTAATTAATTGTGTAATTGAGTAGACATATAAATAGCACGTAACTTCACTATGGTTGACCACACTATCGTAACGTCACAATGATCTCTATTATAACCTCACTATGACTGGAAGTTTTATTATTAACAACATTTTTAACAGTAAACGCTATATATATATATATATATATATATATATATATATATATATATATATATATATATATATATATATATATGTATATATATATATATATATATATATATATATATATATATATATATATATATATATATATATATATATATATATATAAATATATATATATATATATATATTATTATTATTATTATTATTAAAAAGCGAAAAACATAAGATAAAAAGCTTCACATAAACAGTACCCGCTTTTTTATAAAATGA